AAGAAAATTAACTCTATCCCAGCCAAAACCAGGACAAGTTCCTAACATTTGATTTTCTTCTTTCACTGTGCTGCAACACTGACTTGATGCTCTGATTGATGCACTGACTTGATGCTTATTGCAAGGGGGGGTTGGACTAGATGACCTTTAAAGGTCCCTTCCAACCCAAACTATGCTATGATTCTATGATAGAGCTATCCCAAGGACTCACCCCTGAGGGTCATGGTTAGGTCAGAGCCTGGCATTGTATATGTATATGCCCTACCTACTGAGCTGAGATTGTTTTATTCCGTCCATGATTAAGAATTAAAAAAGACTTATTCCCCTTCCTGAAAACTCTGCAAGAAGGTAATCTCCTCTTCTGGGGAAGGATGAACACCTTTCTAAAGAAATTGGGAATTTGCTGACCAAGGTGTGGGGAGAGGAAGAGTAAACTACTCCTGCTTCTTGCGCAGTCCCATAATCTTTGTAGAGCTGCATGTGAATGTGATGATCACATCATCACAAATGAATGGGTTGTTTCACAAAGAGTAAACATTTACTTTTTAGTTGGTGTATGTCAGCTAGAATTAATTTACCTCTGGCTGTGTTAGGTAATAATGCATGCTAGGTGTACATGTGATACAGAAATATTGCCTTACATAAATATTGCACAAAATATACCTACATGCAGTTTCTTTGTGTTGCATAGCTAGGGCAACTGTCTTCCTGGTTTATTAGGCTTAAGAAGATAATTAATTGTCAGTAACTCGGTACTGAATTGGTCAGTTGCTCCCTTCCAGTATTATTCTTCTGTCCCATGTGCAGTGTGGATTTCAAATAGGGATTGTGTTACATGTATGTTGCCTGGGCTGATGCCACCTGAATTTTTACTGTGCTAGTTCTTCAGTTTAGTTCTAACAAAACAACAATTCTGTAAATAAGTTACTAATTCTTCAAAAAGAAGAAACAGAGTCTTTTGTCAGGATGACGTATTTTGTACAGTGGGCAGATGAGGTCTTAAGTCTTGCAGTGCTGCCTGTCACCAGTGGGTCTCCTAGGCTACATAATGTTAGTAGTTGTGACTTTTAGTGAGACAGGTGCTCAAACTAGAAAAATGTCTTAACTTTGCAGGTAGAAAAATACCCATGACTAGCTGCGTGTCTTTGTTTTGTTTTTTTTCTCACTTCTTGCACATTTTTTATTAACTGTATCTGGTTTCAGAAAGGTTGTGCTGCTTACCAGTATTTGAAGTACCTTTTTTTTCCTTTTCCACAGTCCACTCAAGAGCCTTTTAGGATAGAATATGATACCTTTGGTGAACTGAAGGTCCCAAGTGACAAATACTATGGTGCCCAGACTGTAAGATCTACGATGAACTTCAAGATCGGAGGTGTCTCAGAAAGAATGCCAGTAAGTAATTTCCAGCTGTATTCGTTTCTTCTCTTTAAGTATGTTTTGGATGTGAGAGTGAACACTCTCTTACATTCTTAGACTTTTGCTGGGAATATGAGCAACTCTGAATTTTAAAGTTAGAAATTCCATGGCAAGATACTGTTCTGTAGTGGAAATATTTTTTGTTATATTTAAATAAATTCAGTATTGCTTTTGAATAATTATTTTATTGTGTTGCTTAATTTTTTAATAACCAGGATGGACAGAAATCTGACTTTCATTTTTCTGAAGATGAAAGACTGAATGGAATAATTTGTTTGCTGTAGCATTATGCAGTTTGTTATTGAACATGTTCAGTGTAGTATGAATTGATATGAAGTTACTTTTTCACGTGTAGTTGTGCATAGAGCATTAGTGTGCACGCACTTTGTCACGCACTGGTTTTGCAGGTACTGAAACATATGTCAGTTTGCCCTCAAAAAGGCTATTTTAGAAATAGAACCAGTTGTTCTTTTCTGTTCATTTTAATGCATGTAACCTTTTTCGATACACAAAGCATACCTGGACTTACAAACAAAGGGTGAGCTGTGTACCGCTTTCTGGACTGCCTGGATAAATGTTTCTGCTAATGGGAGCACAGGTCATGCGACCTGATTGCTCTTTGGTTTGGTTGATGGACGACTGCTGGATTTAAGTTCAGAAGGAGTTTGGTTTAGAACTAGACCTGCACTATAGGTTCCTAAAATATCCTTTGGGGGGAAAAAAATTACATATTTAAACTTACTCTTGTGTCTCAGGTTCAAGTTATAAGGGCTTTTGGCATCTTGAAGAGAGCAGCTGCTGAAGTAAATCAAGATTATGGTCTCGACCCAAAGATTGCTAATGCTATCGTAAAGGCAGCAACTGAGGTAGGAACAAACTGTTCAAAATACTAGAACTGTCACTATATTTTTGTTAAGCTTTTCACAGGAAGTTTGGAGGCTGGGGAAAGACCTCTTGCATTTCTCAGATTGCTAGAGGAAGGCATTTATTGTTAGTAATTTCTGTTTTTCAGATTGAGAAATTATTTACTTAATATAAAGTTTTACTATGCTACTTCTTACATTTATAGAAGTGATAGAATGTTCGAATACATTTTGATACTTAAGTTATAAAACCAATGTAATTCTTCCCCTCTATTAAGACTACTCATTACTTGCATAGTGCTGACTCTTACCAGATGAACAGTATAAAAAACCTAGGAGGGGAATGGAATCTCTGTTCATTCATCTAACATGGAGTCTGACCTGCCAAGCAAAGCTTTCTCGTTTTGGAAGTCTCCATTCTGTTGAGCAATTGCATCTTGGTAATGTGAAGACCATCTGCAATCTGAATAGTTTTTCTGTTACTAGTTTATTTCCTCTTCAGACTTGAGCTTAGTGGTAAATCCGTGCTTTTGAGTATCACTTTTATAGCTAAAGAGGACATGATGTGACACACAGAGGCATCTCCTCTTTCTCAGGATAAATGCCACCCAAGTGCACAGAGTTGTGAATGACCATTATTTGAGGTATGGTAATACTAGGTGTGTTGCTTTGTGTAAATCAACAGATATATTTATCTAGAAGCATTGTTTTACAGAGCTTTCTTGTTCTGACTAGCTTCAAAATATTTCAGTATTTGCAGAAGACTTATCTGCCAGCTGTAGCACCATAAGTCCCAAGACCCAAGAGCTTTGGAGAACTCCAGAGTATGTCCAGTCTCTTCTTGTGGTTTCTAGGGTTCTCCTAGTTAAAGGTGGATCAGAAATTTTGGTGGCTAAAGGCTACTTAGTTTAGATTAATGGGTTCTGAAAGTTGTTTGGGGCTTTTTGGTTTTGTTTTAAAAACACCCCTGCAGTGATACCTTTTCCATTACCTCCAAAATAATTTTCTAATATAACTGAAAAAGAAAGAGAATCAAGCAAGGAATCAAGTTACTCTTGGAGGTGGGAGCTTTGCCCCTGTATAAGATGGGAAATATATAACATCCTTTCCTGAAAAGCATGATTCCAGAAGGGACTGATGTTTCCTGATAATCTGGAGATAGTTATCTAGCCTCAGAGTTGTGACAACAGATCCATTGCGTTGCATTGTGAAGTTTTCTGAGGCTAATATGCATGGGGGTGATACTTCTGAGCACAGATTTTGATACTATCACAAACACACATTTAGAAAAATCTCTGAATTTAAACATGTAAGGTTCAACAGGCTCCAAAAATGTAGATCAAACAGGACCGTATTTGTACCTGTTCTCCTTGGATTTGAGATAGTAGTTGTCATAGCCTACCTACAGAAGATGTAAGTTGGTATAGTCATTTTTGGCTGATCAGGACCTTGTTCCCATGGGTAATCAGAAAGTCAATATGTATGAATCTTTTTAAGTCCATGTGATTCCCTTACTTATTTATATGTGTAACATATTCAGTTACAGTTGAGATACAGTAAAGACAGTCACGTAGTCCTTTTTAGGCACCTCTCAATTTAAAGCCATGTGGATCCAGGGCAGTATTAGGGAAAGCATGCCTTACAGGAGGAAGGTGTTTGATACCAGCAACCATCTGTCATCTCATTGTGTTGATGCAAAATCTAATGTCTACAGGTATAAGAGGTCTGGAACTTCCCTGTATGAAATTTATTTCTAGAGAAATTTCAGAGCCCGATCATACCAATATCATGTAGTGCATGTGCATGACAGATGGCCTTTGGCAAAAACACCTCTTCTGGGGGACTCTTTGCCATAAAGAGTGGACTTCTGAATGTCTCTAATTCAAATTGTTGTGTGTGTATATATATATATATATATATATGGGAGATCTTACTAAGCTGAGCAAATAACTGGAAGGAAGAACCAGCATGTACTACCTCTGGTCCTACCCAGGAAGTTAGAAGAGAATCCAAATTGCTTTAAAATTTGGGAATGGGTGGATGTTTTTGGACTTAAAAAATCATCTGCATTGTTTGGGAAACAGAAGATATAACCTAAAAGACCTTTTAAAAATCTTTTCTTTCTATGATTGTAGAACATGAAATCATATTATATATTTTTCTGTGTTTCAGAACTCAGCATCTTCAAAAAGCATAGCAAAAGTTTTTTGCCCTTTTAATATCTGGCATTACATCAAACTCAATTATTCTTGTATAAATTCACAATTATTCTATATAGATTTACAAATATAATAGAGAACATTATTTGAATTATGGCTATAAAATTCTCAGGTTTATACTTTTTAATTTTTTTTGTTGTTGTTCCAGTAGAACAACTTTTCTCTCTCTTTTTCCATTATAGGTAGCTGAAGGAAAATTAAATGATCACTTTCCATTGGTGGTGTGGCAGACTGGGTCTGGAACTCAAACCAATATGAATGTCAATGAAGTCATCAGCAATAGAGCCATTGAGATAATGGGGGGCAAACTGGGGAGCAAAACCCCAGTACATCCAAATGATCATGTTAACAAAAGCCAGGTTGTTATACTTGTCTTATAGTTCTTTTAATGTCAAAAGTCTTTTTTTGTTTTTTAATTGTGAATTTTAAATTCTCTTATAGCCACTATTTAAAAAAAAAAAAGGAGTTTTGTGTACAGCTTTGGCAACAATTTTCCAGGTTTTTCAGTTTAAATTAACTTTAAAATGTTGGTCAGTGACGGTACAAGCTTTTTAGATTAAAAACTTTGAACTCATTCATAACAGATGAATTGATATGTGATGCAGTGGGCAGAGGTGGCCTGGTGACAACCACTGCTACTGAGACAGTCTTAAAGAAGTTAAATATAGATCCAGTTTCTAAAAGTTGGATACTTATAACTATTATCTCCATAATGCATTACATAAAGCATGTAGAAAGAATAATAAAATGCCTAAAGTCCTGTAATTGGTAATTTTTCCCCAAGGATCATGGTAGACATTTTCATTATACTTCATTCTTAATATTTCCTTCAGATTAACTGAAGTTTAAGCCACTGACTTGGTTGTATCCTGTCCTGATCATCTGTGTTTACTCAATATCCTGGGAACTATGGATTTAAACTTACCAAAGCAACACATAAGTGTTTTAAAGACACCTACAATTCCTTTAAAATCATCCATCCATTTGTTACCTGTCTCTCATAACTACTATAGCAATTCTTTTTGTTTTTTTTGTCCCAATGTTGATGTGAACAATCTATTCAAGTTAACTTTCTGTGGGTATAGTTATAAAAAGTTGATATTATCAGTAAGGTACCGGACTGAAATTTGGAAGATTTGATCATTCCTGCAGATTGACTTGTGGAACATTCCTAATTTGCTTACTCTTAGTTTAGTTTCTTCTTGTTTGTAAAATAAAGAGAATAAAGCCATACATGTCATCGTATAGCAACAATGGTGAGAAAAGCCTGTAAATAAATTTCTTGAACTTCCTTCACAGAGTTCAAATGACACTTTCCCAACGGCAATGCATATTGCTGCTGCCCAGGAGGTTAATGAGGTGTTGTTACCTGGACTGAAGAAGCTACAGAATGCACTTGAAGCGAAATCCAAAGAGTTTTCCCAAATCATAAAAATAGGGCGCACTCATACACAAGACGCTGTTCCACTTACGCTTGGACAGGTAAAAAAAAAAACCAACAAATAATTATGCATTTGTTTGGAAAATACTTGTAAATATATTGGAGGAAATGGCGGCAAACTTGAGGATGCCTATATTAAGTTGATAGTTTAAGACAAATTATAGGAGCCTCATAGGTTTCTGTATAGGCTGAATCTCAGTCAGAGTATTTTCATCTTTATTGGAGTTTGCTGGATGCGGTACTCTTAATAACTGCATCATAAATTTTCTTTATTTTTTTCCATGTGTGTTTTACTTCTAACAGTAGTAAGATATAAATGATTTTTAAAAGATGTTCTATTACCAAATAACACAGCATGATATTTCTGTTCCACTGACATTGGAAGGAAGAAGGTAGGTAGTCTGTAACCTGTAAGCTTATATAAATGAGGTTTTGCCAGCACACAAAAATACTAAGTATTCTGAATGAAAACATTTTATTTATGATCATATATATACATCTGATAGTAAACCTTTGTTATCATATTGTCACAAATGGCTTATATTACATTAATTTGGTACTGAATTAACTTAAACTGAAATCCATGTAAAATTTGTGGATTTTTTCCAAGAACACACAGGTGGGGTTTCTACTCACTAAAATTAAGTGAACAAAGCCTATGATTCTATGATCTGTTTCTCTAATTGTACCTTGAGAACATTAGTTTAATCTGAGAGCTGATTTACATTGGATTCAGATCCTGCTAAGTACACAGCTGAGATAAAAGGCAAGAGAAAGATGTATTGTGTATACATTTTTATGTATGTAGGTTGTTTTTATGTGTAATTGTAGTGTGAGAGCAGTCTTCTAATAATGCAAACTGTCCCTCTTAATGAAGACATGCCAAGATTTAGCATTTGGGTAAAGTTCAGTGCCTTCAGGTTTTTAAAGAAATTAGTCCAATCATGTTAAAAATTTTAGATGCTTATTCTTGGTCGTTGTCTTTGTTCCTTTATTTTGTCCTCCATTCTTTCAAAGGAATTTAGTGGCTATGTGCAACAAATTAAATACGGTGTGGCTAGGATTGAGTCAACCATGCCAAGAGTGTATCAGCTGGCAGCTGGCGGGACTGCAGTTGGTACAGGATTAAACACAAGAATTGGCTTTGCCGAGAAAGTTGCTGCGAAAGTGGCTGAACTGACAGGTGAGGAATGATATTTCGGAGTTATCAGTAAAGCAGTGTATGTAACATACAGTCAAATTCAAACTAAATCTTTTAGTATCCATACTTCTCATAAGCTCAAATTGTATTTATATTTTAAATTAAACTTTCTGTTAATGCCCTATGTTATATGCCTTATACTTAGGATTTTTCATGCAATGTATAATTATACTCAGTGCATTGAAAGTGACTGAAATTACTGTTTTTCTGAGCAAGAATTATTGGAGATGGATACAGTTTCAGGCTTCTATTATTAGCCCAGTTATAATGTGTCTGTCTTGATTTTTGCTTCTCTGGCTCTCCTAATCTACAGTGACTTGGTACAAGAGAAGGGGAGAAAACCCTCCCAAAACCACTACGTTTTTTCATGTGAAAGAGTAGAAGTTAGCTGTCTGGTTTTTGTGATGCTGTCTTTATAGATCTTAAAACTTAATTTACAAAGCCACTGAGTTTTTTGATCTGTAAACCAGATCTTGTGTGATCTGAAAACCAGATCTTGTGTGTCACAGTTTTGAAAATGCCCCCAACATGAATGTGTATGTCTGTCATTTAAATTTGCCGTAAAATCTGAAACTGCTTATCAACAGTATTTTTGTTTCAATGGATCTATTATTCACTGTCTTGTAGAGGGTGAAGACTTTCTTGTACCTTGAAAGGGAAGAAGTAACTTGTCATAAGCAACAGCTGCTGAGAAGCAGTACAGGGCTTGTTTTGGTACTTGAAGAAGCCATCGGTGGTGTTAGGAAGCTCTCCCATCTTAACGCTCGTTAGGTGTACTGTATGGGCAGGCTGTATGAGTTTAAAACAAGTAGGGCAGACTGCTGAAGTTCCACATGTTCTTATAGGGGAAGTTTATTGGCAAGGGCAAAAGGGAAAGTTTGGAATGATCTCTGCAACTGAGAAGGCAGCTATGCAATTCAGATTCCCATGCAAATTGGGTGGGATTTGGTGTTTGGCAGGAACTGCAAAACACTAGAAATTACGGGGGTTATGCTGCTCTTGTTTGAACTGGTCATGTAAGCTCAGACCAGTAGTTTTGTGGGGCAGAAGGCCAGCCCACCGTCAGTCCTTAGTGATATCCATTACTGCTAATAAAATTCTGCTGAGACTTTTCTTCCAGGGCAAAGCCCTGAAGAAATGCTTTTCATTATGGAACCTAGCCTTAAATCTCAGGCATTTAATTTATTAATTTATTTATTAATTTATT